AGTACATGGGGGTGGGGTGGGGGGAGCAGGGTAATCGAAGACATGACATGTGATAATCGGTAATCTTAACCCGATTCTGTTTGTTTTAAATTAAGCACCCCGCGGGTGAGGAAAACAAAACAAATTCAGGGTTTTCCGATCATCACGGAAGTATTTTACGAAAGTAAATCTTAAGGATAGGAGGCAAGGCACTGTGTTCAATACAACGTCTTCGTCGGGATAAGGCAACATGGCTTAGTACTCAACATATATGTAAAGATTTCTCTTTAGACCTAGAGATCCATTAGGCAGATGAAGTAGAGTTTATGTTACTTGATCTCGGCATACGTGAAGGGATGGTGTTTTCAGCACTATGTCCAGCCGCCTTTAATTTCCCTAACGTAATTCAGGTACCCATCAGAGCTGTGTGGACTCAGGGTCCTCCTACAGTCACAGGTCCGAACCGTGATCCGAACTTGTGACATTCGGACTAGCAGTCAAATGATATACCACTCAACCACGCCGCAACACATATTACATAACCATAATCGCATCCCTAACACTGATGCAATCTAACCATAACTGAAAACGAAGGATAAAATGTATTGTAATTTGTGATGTTAACAAGGCTAAGATGTTTGGGTATAGCTAATCGAATTTAAGAAAAACAACATGGACTTGTTCTTTAACACGATGGTCTTGCCCTGATATCATCTCGTCATTTGACGTAGACATCTCACCTACACACGCAAACAAACACACACACACACACATACATACACATATACATATATACGCATGCTCAGACACAAACGCATACACATTCACTGGCACACATACGCAGAAACACAAGCACGTACACAAAAGCATACACACATACACATACACGCATGCATACAAACACATATGCATACCTACACATTGACAGACATACGCACGTATACAAAAGCATAATGCCTACACGCATGCACTCTTAAACAAATACACACAAACAAAAACTAACACACTTGCATAATATACACACACACACACACCTAAATGTTCTCTTTAACCCGCTAACGTCATAGGAAATCCAAACTTTTTTTTTCTTTTCTACACTTTTTCTGTAATCTAAAATACATTTGTCTCATCTGTCTTATTTAACAAGCATGCCAATCAAAAATATTTACTAATTATAATTCCGAATATGTCTCCTGTTAATTAGAACTTTGTTTTGGAAAAAAAAATATTTACGCAGCTTTTAGATTTCACCCATAGGGGGACAAGGGGCTACTAATTAATGAGTCATTAGCGGGGGATTAGAGACGTCATTAAAATGCTCGTTTCCTAGTAAAATTTTCGAAAACTGAAGAGGGGGAGGGGATGATAGGTTGATGTAGTTTTGTGAGGTTGTTACAATGGTTGACCGAATGATGGATGCAGGGTTGGTAGAAAGTTGGAATTAAGGTTGTCACAATGTTGAAAATAAATCTGTTGAACATTGAATGTGTGTGGGTGTGTGAAGCGGGGAGGGGTAGCTGGAAAATTAAAATCGAAACGTCTTAAAATTGTATATGTAGTGCTGAAATGTTGAATGTGGGTCTATCAGAATGTTGTATCTCGTAAGAATTAAGCACACGGTTGTTTGACAGGGAAATGTAGTGTTCCTTATATATATATATATATATATATATATATATATATATATATATATATATATATATATATATATATATATATATATATATATATATATATATATATATATATATATAGTAAAACACTCAATGAAGAAATCACAGGTTGTTGATAAATTTGGTGTAATATTTCATGCTCAAGTTTAACTATAATGCTTGGTCTTTATCTATGAAAGAGATGGCAGATTTCTTGTACATGTCATGATACCAGCTGATGTATTTGATACTAACTGACTCTTTACAACGTATAGCGAAACGTGACCCCCAACTAATTACACCTAATATCAGGTATGGAGCCTAACCTTGAAGACCCCTATTAGGATACCCCCCCCCAACCCCTCCCCGATCATACTGTTGCAGTTATTTTATTTAAACGACGGAGCCAATCACTTGCTTATAAAAAAAAGAACAAACTAATTACCTGAGTGTAATTTTTGTTTTTAATTTTTTTTTCGCCTCTAATTGCCAACATTCGTGGCCAATTACGTGCCAACATCAATTTTCTTCTTGTAGTTTTTTTAACCATCATTTAGCAAGGCTGGGATAGTTTTTAAATTGGCAAATAATGCTTTGAAAGCTAATGTTAAAAAAAATTAAACATGCATCCTTTAAAGTTCATATCTGGAACTGATATGTTTGAATAATTAAACTTTGTTTGACCAGTTCAGTAGTCCTTACCTAAACTTGTGTTCTTAATCTTATTCCGATTTCAGACCTTGTATTATTTCTATTTCTACCTGTCTCTCCTCATATATATATATATATATATATATATATATATATATATATATATATATATATATATATATATATATATATATATTTATTTATTTATATATGTGTGTGTGTGTGTGTGTGTGTGTTCAATTTTTTCTAAAGCGTAACAAAGTAAATTTAATATCTCTTACTATGAAGAGCTATATTTATTATTCATTATGTGTAACTACATCAGGACATTTTTTTAAAATGAGTTGACCTGTGGCTTTCTTTTTTTTTAAACCTTGGCTTTCTTTTTAAAAAACTCATTCTCTCATCAGGATTTTTGTTATTTTATTTTTTAATATATTTTAAATTGCGAAATTTCACTTTTAGGCAAGTAATTTTACAAATATTTATAAAACATTTTCATTTTTTATTTGGCCGAGTTGCTAATTATAATAAAAATAATAATAATTGATTTGAAAAAAAGCAGTACTTTTATTTAGACAGCTTTTACAAAGTTATAATATGTCGACAGCACTATAGTGCTTTGATTTAGTATATTTGTATCTTGTAATCAACATCATTATCTCGTTCGTGCCAAAGACATATGGACAGAGGCGTAGCGAGGGGGTGGGGCGGAGGGGAGGGGGGGACATATGTCCCGGGGCGCCGACCTTAGGGGGGGGGCGCCAAATTGAAAGTTTGAGGGGGGGGATGCAAATGAAAAGTTCGAGTGGGGGGTGCAAATCGAAAGTTTGAGGGGGGGGGGGGGGTGGAAATGAAAAGTTCGAGGGGGGGGGGATCAAATCGAAAGTTTGTCCCCGGGCGCCGGGAAGGGTCGCTACGCCTCTGCATATGGAGCAGAGGAAGTAGAGTTAATCTGTTTCAATGACCTATGAAGAAATAGTAAATCCGTCTTTGTTTTCCTAACGTGAGTTGGGGTAGGGCTGGGTGGGTTCAGTGACGTCCTACAGACACAAGTCCGAACAGAGATCCGAACTCGAGAACTTCGAGCTAGCAGTCAAACGATCTACCATTCGACCACACCGTTATTATCGTATACCAATTAATACTATCTCTGTAAAAGTATACTCGTAGTATTAGTGTTTCCGGTGACCTAAAATGGACTCTACTAAAAATAGGTGTTTTATGTTGTAAATATTAAGACCTATCTTTATATCATATTGTGGGATTTGTGTTCAGAAATTGGGGTTAGTGTTATGGTAGGAATTGGCTTAGGGCTTTGGTTAAGGTTAGTATTGACATTAGCAATGCATATTTGCATTGAGTTTACCAATACTAACATAACATCAACGTAAAAATTAGGCTGTGGCATTATAAGACACTGGTATAAAATATACCCCAGCGATTCTATTTCAAGCTGTGTATTTTGGAGTTTATTTGTATAGAGTTTTATAAGTGAAATACATATGTATCAATATCTTTGTGTAATGCTATATTGTTGTTGTTAAATTGTCATTGTTATATTGTCATTATTAATGTACACTACAACAGCTCGATTTCATTGAAATGCGTCTGTTAACGGGTTTATGGCATTTTCTCAGAGGCTTAACGAGGGGGGGGGGGGGGGGGCGGGGGGACATATGTCCCCGAACGCCGACCTTAGGGGGTAGGCGCCAAAATGGGTTGGAAAAACAAATCGAAAGTTTGAGGGGGGGTGCAAATCAAAATTTCGAGGGGGGGGTGCAAATCGAAAGTTTGCTGCCCCCTGGCGCCGGGAAGGGTCGCTACGCCTCTGCATTTTCTGCACATAAATCATTTTTTAAAAACGTATTCGCCACTTGCAGGAATGTTAAAAATAAAATCATTGCAAGAGTGCTTTCAATTTATAAATTATAGATCAGAATTTTTTAATGTTGAAAAAAATTTCATCTTAATACTCTTTTTTTAAAACGTAACCTTCTTAATACCTTGTTAGCACTTTTTTTTTCAAAACGTAAATCGCTTTTAAGACAGTTGTAGTAGCAGTGAACGCCCTTTAACTAGGTTGATCTAGAAAAGGCTTACTATGCAGAACCTGAATAAGTAGTTTTAACAGTAAACAGTAAACTAAGGATAGTATAGTTAACAAGTAGAGTTAGGCTAAGCTAGACGAGTATGTTATATGATGATTACATTTTATTTGTGTAAGTTTGGTTTGTTTTGTTTCTTTATCTACAGCATTACCACGGGAGTTGACTTCTAATAGTTTAATACATCTACTACAGAGGCGTAGCGACCCTTCCTTCCACCCCCCCCTCGAGCTTTCAATTTGTTTTTCCAACCCATTTTGGCGCCCCCCCCCCTAAGGTCGGCGCCCGGGGACATATGCCCCCCCCCGCTACGCCTCTGATCTACTAATTGTGTATTTCATTTTATGTACTAAATATTGTCAATACGTTTCTTCCAAATTGTCTACTACATCTAATCATTCAGCTGGTGCCATTGGTTTCTGCATCTGCTCTTTGAATTGCAGTCATTGTTTGTAATAAAACTTTTTTTTTTAATTGCTGTTACTTTGCATGTTTAAACCTTTTTTATTAAATAGCTGTCATTTTGACCACTACAACTTTTCAAGTTGCTGTATTGTGTTGACCACTTCCGACCTTTAAATTCCTGACATTGTCGTTCTTACATCCCCAGCGTTACCACAAGAACTGGCCTCGGTCTGGGAGGCGTATCCCTTCACGTTCGGCAGCGGCTTCTGCTACATCAAGTCCTACGTATCCGAGCTGACCGCCTACGCCTCAGTCCTGACGATCACAGCCTTCACCATAGACCGGTACGTGGCCATCTGCCACCCGCTACGGTCCCAGGCTTTATCCAGCCTCTCCCGGGCCGTCAAGATCATCATCTTCATCTGGATCGTCTCCAGCGCATGCGCCCTGCCTTACCCGATCCACACCCGGTTGTTCTACGAAGTCCGGGACCCGTGTACAAGCGAGCCGCTGCCTGATTCCCTGCTGTGTAACATCCCGGAACGGTTCCGGCACAGGATGAAGTTCATGTTCCAGTTCTCGACGTTCGCCTTTTTCGTGATTCCGATGATCACCATTACAATCATGTACATCCTGATCGGACTGGCCCTTATGAAAACTGACCAGTTCGCGAATGGCAAGAAAAACAAGCAGGCTGTTCTTTCTGCCGTCAAGACCAGGAATGCGGTTCTCAAAATGCTTGGTAAGTTGTTTGATTTGAGGGCTAGAATTTTATGTTTTATATGGCGCAGGGGGTGGAGAAGAGAACCAAGGTAAAGGTCCCCTTTGGAACATGACGGTCTACGGTGCAAGTGAGGTAGAGTTCACTTGTTTCTGTGACCTCGGCATATGAAGGGATAATATTGTTAGCACTATGCCCAGCCGTCTTTACTTTTTATAACGTGAGTCTGGTACCCATCAGAGCTGGGTGGACTAGCTTGAACCCGGATCCCAACAACTTTACAGTCACTTCAAAGACACTAAGCTCTAACTTCTTGAATACAGATACACATCACTGAAGGTAGAGAATGTGCGAGCCATCGCTGCATCTATTCGTCTTTTGTCCATGAAAACTGATTTTGGACATCTGGTCAAAATCACGTGATTTAAACTCTCATTTGTAGCTTGTGTTCATCCATGAATAAGTCTTTTTTTTATAAAAAGTCAACAGATTTATCCGGTAGATCGGGAACATTTTGTGGGCTACAGGCAAAGATGGGCAGGGAGATTGCCTGTGCTTTGTATGGCTGGGTTGAGACTCACCTTTAGTCAGTGCTTTAAAAAACACCAGCTATCGAACCCTGTGGGGCATTGGTGGTCACTGGGATATTTGTCAGTTGAGATAGAGTGATATACTGCGCACCATACACCATTTTTTTCATCCTTGCTTTACCAGGAAGACTAGATACGTTGCTCTTGCATGAATTTTAGCAAAATGTCATATTGGGCTTCAGTTAGTCTGCCAACACTATTTCCACCAAGCCTTTAATTTCTGGGCAGTTTTCAAAAAGCTGTGCCCATTCTTGTACGGGCATTATTAACACAATCAAGTTTTATTGCTACATAGCCAGGGTATGGCTTTGGTTCACATACGGCTTTGAAGGCTGGTGAGTCACCATCACAAAACATCTCTATGTACCGTAAGCCAAATCTGATGCACGTACTGATGCCATATAGGGAGATGAAGGCTCTCTTGTGCCATGTCCAATTATAAGAGACACAGGTGTTTACAATAAATTGTTCTCGGGCATCTATGGCTGCTTTCAAAACTTGATCCTTCTCTACATAAGCTTTTTAGCTCAACAGTTGCAGCTTGCTTCAAAGTTTCACCACATTCAATTTCACCATCTAGAAAGATGAGAGAGAGGCATATGTATACATATATATATATATATATATATATATATATATATATATATATATATATATATATATATATATATATACATAAATATTTAGTATATTCCTTACATTTACGCTGAATCACATCAGCAAGTACTTATATAAAAGATTTGAAGATCTTAAACTTTTGTGTTATGCCAACAATAATATTAAGTTTGAACCCTTAGGTTAAGTAAAATGTCAATGAACATACACGATGATGATTAACAATTAGTATGCATATAGTGTATGTTTAAACTTAGATTATTCTAGACATATATCAATGTCTTCTAATTTATTCTAATTGACACCATTAAGAAGATTAAAATCTTAATTTTAAAAACTATACTTTTTGTAAAGTGGTTAGATCTAGGTTAGATCTAATGTTGGTTGCCTGATTTATACATTTACTTTTAACAACAAAAAAATGTAATGTAGGCTATGGAGTATAGACCCACAGACCTAATTTACACGCATTACTGTGTGCTAATATTCAACCTTAGTTATAATTAATACATTGTCGTTACATTTACCCACAGAAAGGCATATTGTCCTACCTCCAATTGTCTTGTCGTGTTTTTTATAAGCTGCTAAGCTCATACCTGAAATACACATCACAATACAAAGTGTCTGCGGCGTAGCTTTGCCTCCACCTAATTCCTGGCTAAAAAGTGTCGTTCTTCTGTTGACTTTAAACTGCAACGTGTTAGTGTTCACCATGGGTGACGAACGTGCTGAATTCGACTATGTACACACCTTCGGTGTCGAACGCTTTGAATTCGTATATGTACACCCTTGGGTAAGGACTATGATGTATTTATGTATGTACTCACCTTACAATGTCTACTCATGACGGAGCAGAAACCACCGCTATCGGCTACGTGAAATGTAAAGCCTGGATGCATTACTGGACACAGTGGGCATAACAAATCACAGATGACCTGTTTCAAAGTAGTCGAATACAAGTTTGATTGCTTGTATTTCTTTCACAATTATTAGCATATAGGATATACTCATCAAATCATTTTTTTCTTCAACGCATTGATACTAGATCTACTTCTTGTACTTACGATCGACAAATCTAGGTCATGGGATCGAAGGTCAATGTTCTTTTTTCAATTACTCTAACTAAACAGTGGAAAATTGTTGTTTTCTGCGTGGATTTTTTTGGTCGAGGAATTTTTTAATAGATAGACGAATAAGAATATTTTAAGCAGATTTAGTTTTAATTAACTGACCAGTTTAGGATAGGCCGTAGTGTCCATTGTACATACCGCTTCAGGTTGTTGACATTGTAGGTCAAGATGGCGCGCCAGATCCACATGACCAGTCGATAGCCAATCGTTGTCGGTTTCGCTTTTCTATAAAATGACACATTGGCCTATTTTAGCAATGGATATCTACCCAGTCAAACTTTTACGCCAACACTGCTCATGCCCATATATGGAGGTTGTCGTCAAATTTGACTGTGTAATAAATAAGGCCTACACCGCCTATTTTTGATTGTCAGAATTCTCGACTATCATGATTGTTTGCTTGTCAGAGCATTGGACTGTCATGATTGTTTGATTGACAGAATGCTAGACTATCTTGAATGTTTGATAGACATAATGCTCTACTGTCATGATACGCATCTCTATCTGTCACACACACACTCCCACACACACACACACAGGCATGCCTACAGCAATCGTGAAATTTTTTTTTCCCACATCGATCGTGGTGGAAGATGCGATCACGAACGTGATCCAAATGTCTTTTGGTGGCGTGACAGCTCAGACAAATAAGCAACGCTTTCGCGGTCGCTCTGGAAATGGGGGGTAAAACTTTCATTTCCTAAAGTGACAACAAAAAATTGGGATAAATAACATTAGATAGATTTTTCTTACAGAGTTTTTTTCTTCTTATTTATTTAAGACAACTCCAAAATTATATAATTCTCAAATAAAATAAATATGTAAGAAAAAAAAAAGCATTTATTATATGTATAAATCACAAACGAAACACCAATGAAAAATTTGTACTGAGAAAGTAATTTTAAAAAATTACTTTAATAAACTTTAGTAAAGGCTTGAAAAGCGTTGCATTGTCTTCGGAGATTTATTCTTCTACACATTAGCATTTCCAGGTTTAAAATCTTCCCAGTGTTCTAGTGCATGTGTATTTGATGCACTATAGGGAAAGTAAAGGCGGCTGGGCATGGTTCTGACCACACTATCCCTTCATATGCCGTGGTCACAGAAACAAGTGAACAAATATGAACGGTATGTGATCTGTGAAGTAGCGTCATTAAAATTTTATTTTATTTATCTTGTTGTCCCCAGTGGCTGTCGTCATTGCCTTTTTCATCTGCTGGGCACCGTTTCACACCCAGCGGCTGTTGACCATCTACATCCCGACTGATGCCTGGACGGATACCATGATGACCATCCAGACCAACATTTTCTACACATCAGGTGAGTGGGTCAACTGTTGGGGTTTATCATCAGTAAACAGTAGAAACATCAGCTTGTGTATTGGCTAAAGGGCAAGGGGCGTACACGTCTACGTTAATTGGAACATATGAACAATTATATGACATGAAACCTACAACTGCAGCATGACATGGGACCTACAAATAAAAACATGACATGGGACCGATAAATAAAACCTAACATAGGACCACAAACACAATGTAACATGGTACCTACAAACACAAAATGACCAAATACTTACAAATACACCATTACATGGACCAACAACTACATGGACCTACAACTACAAGACATGGACCAACAACTACATAAGTAACCCTACCCCCACACCCCACACACACACTTCCATTCCTCACCCTACACTACATTTACCCTACCATCCCCATCCTCTTCTCCCCAGGGGTGTTGTACTTCTTCAGCTCCACCATCAACCCCATCCTCTACAACGTCATGTCGCACCGCTACCGCAAGGCTTTCAAGCGCACGTTGTACAAGTGCATCAAAGGGAAGAGCTACGAGTACAGGTGGGTAACGGTACTTAAACAAACACAGCTCTCTGAGCTACGAGTACAGGTGGGTACCGGTACATTAGTTAAACAAACACAGCTCTCTGAGTTAACCTTGGTACTTTTTTTATTATAGAGAGCACAGACGACACGCATTGTCTCTTGGTTTAACTACAGGCATCTCCATCTCTTCGTGAAGGGGGTGGGGTGACGAAGTTGGTCACCCCCGTCCCCAAAAATATCAAGTGTCCTTCCCCCCCCCCTTCCCCCCCCCCCCCCCCCCCCCGTCCCCGTCCCCCGTGAGAAAAGGGTCTGCTCACAATTACACCTCCGCAACATGGTAAGCACTGAGTATATAAAGGACGTAACGATAATTAACAGTACATAGAGTAACAGGTACCTGGGTCATTGGTACTACCTATCCCCCCCCCCCTTCCCCCCCCCCTCCCCCCTCGCGATTGGCTTCCGGTGGTATCGTTATGATTAGAGCTTCAATGTGTTTTTTTCTTCCGACCACGAGTTTTAGTGTCTAACATTAATGTCTAACAGTTGATGGGGGCTTATGTGAAGTAGCCCGGGTGTGGAGGGATTGTAATGAGTATATATGTACAGTGTACTGCCTGTTTAAAAAAATTAGATATTTTGAGCAGCATTTTTTTTTTTTTTTTTTTGCCTCAGACATGTAATTTACAGCGTCAGTTGTGTGTTCGCTTTAGTATTACAGTTTTCATCATCGGCTTGTGAGTACTGATACAGATTTACAATAGTAATATTTCTTTCTTACTTGTAGCCTACTTTCATTCATTTAAGATGGTTTACTTATACATAGATCTAATACAAAACGTCTAAATATAAAAAAAAATTAAAAAATAAATAAAAAAACAACCTGAAAATGCAAAAGTGTAATTAAATGATGATTCAAGGGATTTTTTTCCCTCGGCGTGGTGGGTGGGGGGGCTGGGGGGGGGCGGGGTAGAATTTGGGTTTTTAAGTTTGAGCAGCACAATGACCTTACGAACTATCACACAAGCAGAATATCGGTGTTTTGCAAATTTCAAATAAGTACTATTTAATTTTTAAAATAATTAAGGGTTTTGCTTAGTAAAATATAATTAATAAAATAATTGTTACTTGCAGAAAACATAAATTGCATCTGATATAAAAATATGCTAATGTATAATTAAAAAGTTTAAGTTTCAGTGATTTCTTTATTAGTCTTGTTTTAATAGTTTCATTGTACCATAACTATTTTTTAAAACATTCACAATTTACCTCCCCTATATCTTTAAATGTAGGGATGGGTGCGTAATTTATTCAATTAAAATTCTAAATCTCTTTCTTTCTTTCCGTCCTTAAGAAAACTTGTTTTAATTTTTAAATATCGCCATAGGGTTGCCTTTTTTGTTGTTTTTTAATGTACAAAAGACAAGTAAAATTACCCCGGTAAGTAAGAAAGGTTATTTGGATTTTATTTAAGAACTAAAACAATACTGCGGTAGCAGTTGTAATGTCATCAAAAGTAGTAGTCAGAGTTTTTTCCAGGCATCTCTTCGGGGGTTCTCTGCCCCCCCCCCCCCCCCTCGCAGGAAGTCTACCACCACCTCCCCCCCCCCCCCCCCCCGGAAGAAATGGAATTTATATAGGAAATATATACTTATACCATGCCCCCCCTCCCCCAAAAATATCAAGTGCCCCCATCCCCCGCCCAGGAGAAAAAAGTGTGAAAGAAACACTGATAGTAATGTAGGTGAAAACTTACGTTTAATTACCTGGTCAAATTCATAATATTGTACACATAGAAAGTCAGTAAAGTTCCCCTAACAGCCCATTTGACAGATGAAGCTTTGACTTCGGTAAAGGGAAGGTGTGGGTAGTCCGATCCGGGATCCGAACTCGAGACTATCAGGCAATGTTTACCTGTTAGGGAAAGTAAACGCGGCTGGGTATAGTGCTGATCATTCTTTCTCCACTGTGTGACGAGGTCATTGAAACAGATGAACTCTACTTCATCTGCTCCCACTGTGTTTTGGGCACGAACGAGAATATTTGATGATGATGATGATTATATAAAAATATACTCTTTTTTTTTAGTGTTCCTCTCTATTTAGCACCTCGGTATTTCTCCATTCTCGGTAACATTCAGGGATGAATAAAATATTGTTAACGTGTGCATTGTTTTAGTGTGTGTTTTAACTTGCCTGTGTATGATTGTGTATCAGTGAGTTCTATAACTAATCTGACAGTGTAAGATTGTGTTTTCGTTAGGTCTATAACTAACTTACCTATATATGAGTGTGTATCAGGTATATAACTAACTTTTCCATAAATGTTTTTGTTTCAGCGACTGAGTTCTGTAACTAACTTGCCTGTGTATGATTGTGTTTTAGTAAGGTCTATCACTAACTTATCTGTAAGTTTGTGTGGTAGTTAGGTCTATAACTAGCTTGTCTACATTTGATTGTATTTCAGTTAGGTCTATATCTAACTTGTATTAACTTGTATGATTGTGTTCCAGTGATATCTCTAACTTGTCTACGTATGATTGTATGATTGTATTCCAGTGATATCTCTAACTAACTCGTCTCTGTATGATTGTGTGTCTGCTATGTCTCCAACTAACTTGTCTATGTATGATTGTGTCAGTGATATCTCTAACTTACCTGTCTATGTATGATTGTATGATTGTATTTCACTGATGTCCCTAACTAACTTTCCTATGTATGGTTGTGTTCTGTAATATCTCTAACCTGCCCATGTATGATTGTGTTCCAGTGATATCTCTACCTAACGTGTCCATGTATGATTGTGTTCCAGTGATATCTCTACCTAACGTGTCCATGTATGATTGTGTTCCAGTGATATCTCTACCTAACGTGTCCATGTATGATTGTGTTCCAGTGATATCTCTACCTAACGTGTCCATGTATGATTGTATTCCAGTGATATCTCTACCTAACGTGCCCATGTATGATTGTATTCCAGTGATATCTCTACCTAACGTGCCCATGTATGATTGTGTTCCAGTGATATCTCTACCTAACGTGTCCATGTATGATTGTGTTCCAGTGATATCTCTACCTAACGTGCCCATGTATGATTGTGTTCCAGTGATATCTCTACCTAACGTGTCCATGTATGATTGTGTTCCAGTGATATCTCTACCTAACGTGCCCATGTATGATTGTGTTCCAGTGATATCTCTACCTAACGTGTCCATGTATGATTGTGTTCCAGTGATATCTCTAACTAACTTGTCTATGTATGATTGTATGATTGTGTTCCAGTGATGTCCCTACCTAACCTTTCCATGTATGATTGTGTTCCAGTGATATCTCTAACTTGTCTATGTATGATTGTATGATTGTGTTCTGTAATATCTCTAACGTGTCCATGTATGATTATGTTCCAGTGATATCTCTACCTAACCTTTCCATGTATGATTGTATGATTGTATTCCACTGATATCTCTACCTAACCGTTCCATGTATGATTGTATGATTGTATTCCACTGATATCTCTAACTAACCTGTCCATGTATGATTGTATTCCAGTGAGACCAGCATATTCAGGTCGACCCCCCAGGGGACGGCTGTCACTGTCTACACCAACCACAGGCTGCTAGTCAAAGACAGATCTGCCAAGAACGGAGACATAGAAATGAACAGCTCCACCGTCTGATCTAACCTACTCCACCGGCGCTCCACTGGGTGGATTATTTAATAAGTCATTTTTAATGACTTCTTGACTTAGAATCAAACGATAACTAATGAACAATGAAAAACCCAGCAAGGGTGTTATCTTTATTTTATCTTTAATTTTTTAAATTTTTTTTTTATGTTTGTAAAAATTCAATGATACGTATTTTATTTTTTTAAATTATGAGAGAGACCCGTTTTAAAACTGCATATTCAAGCTGAGTTAAAAAAAAATAGAACGTGTTGGTATGATTGGAATTTGTATACATTTATTGCTATGTTATTGTTAACTAATTTACATGAATATTTAATGAAGTTATTTCATTGTCTCCCGTAGTATTAAACTACAAAAAATATACTACGGGAAAACCCGCAACGTCTCAAATTTAATAATGATGATGTACCTTATTAATACAAAATGTATAAAATTAACATGCTGTTTTTGTTTTCAAAAATTGTTTTTTTTTTACTTAAAATTATGCTTTATGTGATAGAAGTGCTAGCGTCTTATAAAAATCTTAAAATTAACCTTTTCAGGATCCGTTCTTTTTGTATTACTGCAGCAGACAGAGGCGTAGCGATGGGAGGGGGGGGGGCAGGGGGGTACATATGTCCCCGGGCGCCGACCTTAGGGGGTGCTAAAATGGGTTGTAAAAACAAATTAAATTGTCTTTTTAGCTGCATTTTTTGTATTATAGTTTGAGGTGGGGGCTGTAAATCGAAAGTTTGAGGGAGGGGGGGGGGGCAAATGAAAAGTTTGAGGAGGGGGGGGGGGGATGCTAATTAAAAATTTGCTCTCGAGGGGGGCGCCAAATTGAAAGTTTGTCCCCGGGCGCCGGGAAGGGTCGCTACGCCTCTGGCAGCAGAAAATTCTACTTTAGAAGCTTTAATAATGTAACAGTATGGTAGCCGTCCTTCCTAGCTAAAGCTTCAGATGACAGACACGAGATATCTGTCAGATTATAACGTATAGTTTTAGATGGCCAATGGTCATCTGTTTCACAATTTAAAGAACAGTTTGAACAGTAAGAAATTAGAAATACAAATTAAAACCTTTTTGAAAGTTCGTTTTTTTTTAATACTTTATTTTGTAACTTTTTTTTTTAATTTGAAACTAAAAAAAATTTACTATTAATGTGTTGTTTTTTATCTTCTCCCTACGGCCCTACTTTGTATATTTTATTTCATCTTTTAAACGGGACGGTTAAACATTTTGATGGGGGGGGGGGGGGGGGAAGGGGTGTACCGTTTAGACTTAGTTACTGTTTGCATATCCACTTATCTAAAATGAGCGCAGAAAACGCGGTTTGTTTATTTGTTGTTTTTTTTTTGTGTTGCCGGTACTCAAAATAATTACCTTCTAAAATGTCAAATTTAGCTGATCGAAGTCTTTATATGAACTTCTGTTACTAATTATATCACCTGACTTTCATAAATGAACAAGGTAATTTTGATCAAATATTATTTTTTGTCAACGTTGTTTATTTTTCATCAGAGGCTGCTTACAAGTTAATTAGAAATCTGCACGTGCTAAAGTTTGTTTTTTTTTTAAATAATGTACGCATGTAGTTAGGCTTCGTTCATTAACGAAGACGCGCGTTTAGGTTGGGTGTGGGATTGGAGGAGGGGGGGGGGTATCACCAAAGAACGTATACAGTCTAAATATAGGATGGGAGAGAGTGTCATTTAAAAAAATATATAACATATCGTGTCTAAATATAATGCAACATGATCTCTATACTTACATGAAAGAAGAATTACACCGCGTTTACAATTGCGATCTGCATACTATACATGTCTTCTATGTATACCGTACATGTCTACATAAATAATGCATGTCTTCATGTATAGTATACATGTCTAGATAAAAAGTTCGCAAAAAAAGTGAATGTTATAACAAAATAATTTTTCCACGAGACTTGTATACATTTAATTGCTGCGAGTTTGTTTTCTCTAGACATGTATAGTATAGATGTCGTAAGTGTAAACGCGTTGTAAAGCTGCTAAATGGGGCTGTGTGGTCGAGAGATAACGCTCACGATACCTAACACGACAGTCTCGAGTTCGATTCAAGGACCTCGAGATTATTCGTCGTCCGTGACTTCAACAAGTTCTGATGGTTACCCTACTTTATCTACCTATAGTCGAAGACAATTGTGTTAGAAGGGGGTCGTGTGAACCCCTTTTGGAGTTGAAAGAGGATCGCTGAACCCTCTCTATTTTCAAGAATGGTGGTACTGTGAACCCCTATCCCTACAATTTTCAGACGCCGTATTTTAAAAAAAGTAAAAAACGAAAACATGACCTCCGACCTTTCCACCAAATTGTTGTAATTGTCTGCAGTTGGTGATGCTGTGTCATATAGGGCTGGTAAGTAGGTCACCAACCAGTTCTACGGCTCAATAAAAACTGCATGAGCCATAGGACTTGTCGGTGACCTACTTACCAGCCCTATAACAGGGTTCGGGTTTGCATGCAAGGTCTGAATACATGTTTCAAAATTGATTTGTTTTACAATTGGTCTCGCGAACTCTCAAAACCAATTGCATACATTTTTATCCTGATATATGTGTGTTCTTATAGTCAATGGGTGTGTGTTGATATGTGTGTGAGTGTGGTTGTGTGTTTGTGAGTGTGGGTGTAGAGTGTGGGTGTGTGTGGATGTGTAGTTGTGGTTGTAAATCTCATATTTTTTCTACGTGTGTCATGAATTGAATTGTTCTTAACTGTGATATGAAGTAGACTATTTTTGTCTATATCTCTAAAGTCCATAGTCGATTACCCATATATCCTTTTATGAAATCGATAACATGTATAAATGGATGTAATTGTCAACGTGTAAAGTGTACTCGATTACTTATCCTGAATGTTAGGGTAACGTTGTCAATATATATGAGGTATATAGTTGATTACATATATACATGGATTATGTTATAGTATATGGTGGTGTGTGACTGATTATGTGTGCGTGATATTTTAAATGTACATACAATTTCTCGCATTCTATTAGTGTCTTACTTGTAACAGATTCATCAAAAATTAAAACAATATTTGAAATGGTTAATGGTTTTTTTAATTAATTAGTTTTTTCATTAATGTCACTTGTTCGTCCAGCAAATTATGTTTGTGTATTCAACCCCTGTATATATATATATATATATATATATATATATATATATATATATATATATATATATATATATATATATATATATATATATATATATATAATAAAAGACAAAAAGAATCATGCTCTGTCGCTTCTCGCTACCATATGAAAAGCCTCAAATTTCAAAGTCCCTTTGAATAATATTGTGTTGATGCACCGCTAAGTGTTGAGCTTCAAGTTCATTTAAATCACCTTAGAACACGCACAACACGCAACATTAGCAGCTAGTGTAAAGTTGTTAAGTAAAAATTGTAAATTCCAGTATAAGTCATTCAGTGATTGCCACAAAACGACTGTGTGTAATTGGATAGCTTTGTGAACGACTGTGTGTAGTTGGATAGCTTTGTGAACGACTGTGTGTAATTGGATAGCTTTGTGAACGACTGTGTGTAATTGGATAGCTTTGTGAACGACTGTGTGTAATTGGATAGCTTGCTAAACGACTGTGTGTAATTGGATAGCTTTGTGAACGACTGTGTGTAATTGGATAGCTTTGTGAACGACTGTGTGTAATTGGATAGCTTTGTGAACGACTGTGTGTAATTGGATAGCACGACTGTGTGTAATTGGATAGAACGACTGTGTGTAATTGGATAGCACGACTGTGTGTAATTGGATAGCTTTGTGAACGACTGTGTGTAATTGGATAGCACGACTGTGTGTAATTGGATAGCTTTGTGAACGACTGTGTGTAATTGGATAGCACGACTGTGTGTAATTGGATAGAACGACTGTGTGTAATTGGATAGCACGACTGTGTGTAATTGGATAGCGTGTTCAACGACAGTTGGATACACTGTAGATTGTTGTGTTGCTATGTGTATGTTTATTTCGAAAGTTTTCGTGAGTTTCAGCTCACGATAAACTATAGAACCTGAGGGGATGAATGACGTATCAAGATTTGGCAGTGGTGGAAAAAAAATGTCGACCATAAGCTACTTAGTTACGTTTTAGTGGAGCTTTTGACAATCGTTGTCACCAGCTAACACTTTGATTGTTTCAGTTGCCTTCTTAATGGTGAGTATACCACACGTTGATTCCAAGTTATATATATATATATATATATATATATATATATATATATATATATATATATATATATATATATATATATATATATATATATATATATATATATATATACCTTTTATTGAACTGTATTGATCATGGTACAGGTAAAATTGATATTGATCCACTTAAAAAAAATATTTACAAATACAAAGATGTAGATTTATTGAGATTTTCTTATATTTGAATAATACGTCATACAATCTGTGACCTGTAGACAATGCGTTAAGTGGCGGTTCTTTCGGCCGAGATTTGAACCTTAAAGTAATTCTTTTCTGAGTGCTAATGCCAGCTTTAGATCATATTTTTAACTGAATTAAACACATGTAGATTATAGTTTGTCTGGTTTTGTTATAATGGTTTAGTTTTTGGAAGAGCAACACACATTATATGTGTGTGTTTATGTGTTCATTGTAGATAATTCTCAACTTGCTGGGCTTTTCTGTTATAACCCAAGGGACATAACCGAGAGAACGGAAAGTAGAGGTTTACAGGGAGACAATCAGAGCTGTATTTTAATAAGATCAGGGGACGTATCCCAACATTATTTAGTTCAAGGTTGTTGTTGTTTTAAATAAATAATTAGTAATGAAAAAATACTACCAATCTACGCTATTCCAAAAACAGCACTAAATGGCAGTTACTAGTATAATGTTAAATAATGCACAAAACTGCACACACATATTTTTCTAGGCTACTGAATATATTAATCAAGACGACTCGGGCTATCGATGCTATTATTGCTTTTTCCAAATGTCTTTATCGAAATAGGTTCACAGTTTTATAGTAATTTTTTTATCTTACTTCAGTTTCATGCAGGGGTCGGCAACCTTTTGAGACGGAAGAGCCAAAAGTTATAATTTTCAAAATTATCCAGTTTTTAAAGAGCCACAAACATTTTTATGTCAATATGATCTTTGTTAAAGATTATATATATATATATATATATATATATATATATATATATATATATATATATATATATATATATATATATATATATATATATATATATATATAGGGTCTACTATAAATGTCAGAGTGCTTGAACACCCTTCATTTTGTTTATAGTAATACTGAAGTAATTCATGTTAGTAGTAGCATTGGTTTCATCGCGATATTTTTTTTTTCTTCAGATTTTTTTGTAATTAAGTAATTTACCGCTCTCCATGTCTTTAACAAAAAAAATTTTTTTTTTTTTTCGTAACAAACCACTTCTTCAAGCAAGGCATAGGCTGAGTTTTCCTTTTAGTTTTACATTTAGCTCGTTTAGTTTCTTTATGATCTCCACCATGAAGTTGAATGTTGCAATTTGGGATAGACAAGTTAATAGAAAGTACATTGAAATATGGCGTTACTAAATATTCTAATGGAATAGCGAGTGTTTATTGTTTATGTTTATTATTTTATCGTTCATTACCAAGTGTTGCAGAACAATATTTTTATTGAGCATAAAGCTGTAGAGCCGCAACTTGACATCAAAAGAGCCGCATGCGGCTCGCGAGCTGCAGGTTGCCGACCCCTGGTTTCATGTATACACTAGCTGAAAATTACTGACTTATTACATTATATTGACTTATTACATTATCATAACATAGAGTTAAGTTGACTGAAAGCTTAGCTACGAGCATTTAATATAATAGTTTTAACTATTTATTTGTTTATGTTATAGCAATAATACCTTATTTTTTTTATGTATCTGAATTGTGTATGATAAAGGATATGCCTTGGTTTGAACAGTGTTGAAACCAAGAACGTATGACAGTACGCTTGAGGGTGTTATTTATAGGCACTTACTTCGTGTATAATCAAACATAAATAAACTGTATTTGTTATTTATGGACAGTTAGGGGTCATCCATAAATGACGTCACACTCGTAGGGGGGAGGGGGGTCCGTAATTTTGTGACGATGTGTGATGAGAGGGAGGGAGGGGGGATGGTTCAGATGTTGCGACGTCACATTTTTGCATTATAAAAAAGCAATGTTAGAAAACGAATTTTAGACGTTATTTCGCGTTTTAGATATCTGTTTTAATACATTGTAATAGTTTAGACAAGATTTTGGAAAAATATCCATGTTTAAAAAAAAGTCAACTGCAATTTCGAGGGGGGGGGGGGGTTGTAGGTTGAGGTGTGACGTCATTTTAGGGGGGTCTGGCTTTTTGTGACGACGTGTGACGGAGGGGAGGGGGGGGAGGTAAAAATCGTCAAAAAAAGCGTGACGTCATTTATGGATGACCCCTTACTTCATGTATAATCAAAAATAAATGTACTGGATCAATTAGATAATTACACATAATAACAACAATTAGTTTATAGAATGAGAGCAATTAAAATTTATTGGAGAAAACATAACATACATTTGAAGACGAATATCACAACAAGAAATCAAACAATACGAGCGTGAATATTGTGACGTGCCGTACAAATCAATGAAATAATTAACTAATACATACCTCGAACATTTCAAAAGTTTAAATCTTTGATTTTTATTGTAGCTTGCTTGATTCGATCACATAATAAATAAAGCTGTGAGTAGCACGTATCAATTAATTAACAACAAATAAAATGACGCTGAAATTAATTAATGATTTAAACACAGAGCGTGTGTGATCAATCAATTCGTTAAGTGCAACGGTGTGGCTGAACTATGTTTGTAGTAGATATGGTTAAGGTCGGTTTGTTCCCCTCTTTTTTTGACACCAAATCATCCACTTCACTCCACTACAATACCCTCCACCCCATTGAGATATTCATCAACGATAGTTAGTTTGAGTTTTTAAAAAGATTGATTATTCTTTATGAAGCAGGTATCATAAAAAAATAGCTGTTAATTCATGTCACTGTTTTTGTTTTGAAATTAAAATGTTAAAACTTAAATATATTGGTTGATGTTACAGACGTGTTTCTTCGTAGTGAGGTACACAAGTGGGTCTTTGGTTAAAGCAACGAACTAACTCACATACTCATAGTATAGGTCAACATTTTGCTCAACTATACCTGATACAATCTCCCCTCCCAACCCTTCCCCCATCACCTGGAATTTAAAAAAAAAACTTTAATTGACCTATCCTATAAACATAACGACGATTTTTATGATAAAATATACGATGAAATATATACCCAGTCCATCCAAGTATAGTATCTGCTGGACGAAATTTGAAGTTTAACTTAACATTTACAATTTCCCGAAGTGATAATTATTGTAATTATTTTTTTTTATTTTTAAAGGTTTTAATAGGAGGCACATTGGGCTTTTCCATATTGCCCGTTTGTAACCAAAAGAAAATTACCCTTTCAGACTTGCGAATTTAGATGCTAGACCAGTGGTTCTGAACCTTTTTTGAGGTACCGAACCCCAACAGTTTCATATGCATATTCACCGAACCCTTTTTAATAGCTCTATCGTCCGCACTGACAAAATCCGATATCGAATCATATAAGTCGGTTGTGTGTCTTGCCCTCCGCCGAACCCCTGAGACTGACCGATTCGACTCACTGGTTCGATCGAGCCATAGGTTTAGAACCACTATGCTAGACAAAAAAAATTCTCTATGATGTTAACCACAGCATCTGATTTGCCCAGTTAGGGACGGGGTGGTCGAGTGGAAGGGCGCTTGACTGTTCGGATCTCGGTTCCGTTTGAATCTGAGGCCACCCAGCTCTAATGGGTACCTGACTCAAGTTAAGGAATTAAGGAAAGTAGAGGCAGTTAGGCATAGTGCTGACCAAACTATCCCTTCATATAAAGAAAGTCAAGAAACGTTTAACTCTACTTCATTTGCTTTATGGATCCTTAGGTCTCAATGGGTAATTTTACTCTTTTTTTTAAACTATAATGTTACTACAAAGTACACATTTTTAGAACGAAACATCAAGGAGCCCATTGCAGGTATTCCACTGTGGGCTGAGAACTGCTCACCTGATAACTGTACTGTGAGAGTTACACAGGTATGACAGGTGAGACTGGTGTCCAGACTGGAACAATACCTCAGGTAACATCGCAGACCGACAGGTATATCCAGGTAAGAACGCGTCAGGAACTGAAGAAAAGGGGCGTTGTTCTTATACTAAATCCAACAGTAGATCCTCAAATTTTTCCAAAGTTCGTCTGTAGTAGAATCAGCTTTTTGAATCGGATTAGATAAGTTAATGAATGTGTGAGCACATGACCTCACGTGCGAGTGATAGGTGTGTACAGTTTCTGGGTCCTATGGTGCTGCCTGACGTGAAATAAAGGCATTGGCACGAACAATAATGAAGCGATCACAACATTGATTAGATTAGAATACAGAAACATAAAGTTGTGTAACTCTGGCTGACCAAAGTACTCGGTTTGGTAATTCATCAGTGCTCTCCCTTTAACAATTTATTTACATTTTGACAATTTTGTTGTCTTATACATGTGGGAAACGGAATTAAAGTTGTAAGATGATTAATAAAAGAGTGCCCTCACCAACGTGGTGTAGCTGTCAGCGAGATTTATAATATTTACATAAAAAGGACACTTATATTTCAAATGTAAATCACAGCCGTTCCGGCCAGGCGTCACACTGGCTGGCTGCATTTACAACGAAAACCAAATTTAGAATAGAGTGACGGTAAATAAGCCTAAATTAAAGTATTGACTGACCTTATCAAACGTGCTACACTAGATTGCCTTATTTTGGTGTTTTTTTTTCTATCAAACACAGAATTATGTGTTTTCTGTAACAAAACAATTTCACCGCCCCGCGTAAAAATTTTGTTTAGCACATACAAAAATGTTGGGAATATGTGGGCATCCTGTGTCAAAATGAGAAAACATTTTCCAAAACGTTAAAAGTTTTAACTTTTTGTTTATGAAAACAAAAATCTTAACTTCACATTTTAGTTGGATCAACAAATGTCTTACATCTTTGTAATGAAACAATAATTAATACATAATTGACATTCCAGAAGCCCTTTAATAAATATTTTCGCAGTTTAAAACTCATAACCTTACTTAATTTAGTGAATCATCACAAAAACAAACTTGTGACACAACTTTATGAGCAAGCTTCGTGCAATCATGTAACTGCATTTAACTTAATCTTTCGCTCCAAGATAAATCCAACCTTTTAGAATCATTCATGAGTACATTATGGGCACATAATCCAAGATTCTTGTTTTTTACAATTACTCCTATTCGAGCAACACTTCATGGCAACAAGTTTAGGATTCATGTTATTTAAAACAATTTTATCCATCAATACTTCTATAATTTGGATACCCTTTTTTTAATCCGATATTTTGTTTACATTCTTTAATTTAAAACTATCTAACTATGGCACCGTTGCTGACGTCACAATCACAAGGGGGCGGGGTGTTCTTAAAAGAGACACGCCCATTCACTTGGTGGGCGTAACTTTTCCTAGGCCGCTCCGCCTTTTTTAATGCGGCGGCTGTCTTCTTGTCTTTAGACAGCGCGCCATAATCGGACTCCACCGCTTTGTTCGTGATGACGTAATTATCCAAGGCCACGCTCTGTTTCAAACACGATTTCTGAATCGTCGGTTTCCTACGCTGGGAACTGTTTATTCCAGGGACTTGTTTCTTTCGCGGAGGCGTAGAGGTGAAGTCGGTGTTGGGGCTAGAGTTGATGATGTTGTTGGCTGAATTGTTTGAGTCGTTTTCGTTCTGAGCAGGGGCGTGCTTTGCTCCGTTGAGGGGCGTCGACTCCATGTTTAGAACTGTGTCGTCCTCTTGTCTGTAAAAAACAAAATGAGATAAATTTAGTTTCCATAAAATATGAATTAAAACGTGTGTAATTTTTAAGGACGTAGTTATTGTGAGTTCCGATTTTAGAACGTTAATTACCAGATATTAGGTTCGGGTGAAAATAATGTTATCCCTTTATAAACACGTGACAGAATTTGATGCTGATTTTTTTGTTTTAATGAATACTGTTATTTTACCAATAATTTGTATCTCTTTCTTGTATTTTTTTAAACTTCCCTCAAAGTATAAATAAATTCTAATAATGTGTATTAAAATGTTACGATATAATTGGTTTATTGGCTACAGAGAAAAATGCAGGCTTAACTTAATCAATCGTACTAAATATTACGACTAGGTTATCACTTTATTTTCGAGTTGCAAGGGGTCGTCCATAAAGGACTTTACATTAGTAGTAGGGGGGGGTCTGTAATTTTGTGACGATGTGTGATCAAGAGGAGGAGGGGATTCAATTCGTGTGACGGAGGTCGGCGTGGTCTAGTCATGGTTGCGGAACCGAAAAGACCAGAGTTTGAACCCCCGGGCAGATGAGGCTCGACAGCTAGGGACAGCTGCTCATCTAGGAGAGACAACTCCAAAATTAAAAAAACTCCTGCCGGGTAGCTTGTTCTGGGTTTGGAAGGCAAATCCGAAAAGAGAAATCGGAGTCAACGCTCTAAATGGCGTAAAACAAGTTGACACGTAATACTTAATTTTGCTGGAAGGGGAACCCCTTCCAAATCTAGAACTAAGAACGGAGAAAAACAAGTCGAGTGACGTCAAATGTATGCTTTTTTAAAAGTATTGTTAGAAACTGAATTTTCCGCCGTTATTTGGCGATTTTTGAAAACAGCTTTTGTAAAGTGTAATAGAAGTTGATGAATATACTCTACGAGCCGACCCGCGGTGTATCATACGCCGCTATTTAGTTGTTGTTTTTTCTACATTTCTGTAATTCATAATTTGTGAATTCGACAGTACCAATGCTGCCACTGAAAATATTTGCTTTAAAACACTAACCCCCCCCCCCCCACGTGAAAGCAGCCTCCTCCTAGTTACCTCCTCTAAGTTTAAAATAGTTTCAAACTGAATTATCTGCCCCTAATAGCCGTCACCAAACTAAACATTTAGCGTGAACAACAACTCACCTGACCATGTGTGTGTGGGGGGGGGGGGGGGGGGGGGGGTGGGGGGTGGTAGCGATAGAAAGGAAGAGATGGGACTGCAAGGCGCGCGCTTGCAGCTTGTTTTCTAACGGCTCCCAGAAGAGAATTATATATATAGATGTTAACTAAGCTCAGCTGATGTTTAAAAAAAAATTAAATTGCAATCTGAATGGGGGGGGGGTTGTAAGTTGAGTTGTGACGGAAGGGATGGGGCAAGTAAAACTCGTCCCGAAAAAGAGTGACGTCATTCATGGATGACCCCCCCCCCCCCTTAAGTGGTAAAAAGATTATTATTTTTTCAACTCTAAAAGTACAATGGTTAACCTGGTTCTACCCGTAAAAAAGAACGGACAAAGGCCGCATATCGACCGAAGTCTGAAAATGCCTATATATTTCTTCTATATTCTGAAAATCGTTTTTTATTGCCGCCATTTTTTTTTCATTGCCCAGACGTCAACTCTGGCCGATTAAAGCGCGGATAACTCTGAGCTACGGTCAATTTACTCGTGTGATCTGGTGCACGTCATGCAGTCAGGAGAGCATGATCTCCCCTGAAGGATAGCGAGGGCTAAAATTTTATTTCCTTTCTCTGTGAGTTAGAGTTTTTTATTTAGCCGCTCTGGATATATTTTAATGCATTCAGCTACAAACTCTTTTGCTATCAGAACTAAATAAAATTATGGTGTGTGTATTTTTTTTTCGCTGTTAGTTAATTAAAATGTATTTTTTTAAAATTTAAATGCTGAGAAATACAAATAGTTCAACTATTAGCGTCAAATATTTGTCGGGATGAGTGGAGCGCTAGACTGCTAACCAGAAAGCTTCGAGTTCGAATCCGGAAGATGATGAAAACTGTAATAACAAAGCGAACATGCAAGGCGAACTGACGCTGTAAATTACATGTCTGAGGCGAAAAAAATAATAATAAGTTAGTAGAACGTACAAATAAAAGTGGCTGGGCATAGTGCTGAATACACTATCCCTTCATATGCCGAGGTCACAGGAACACAGGAACTCTACTTCACTTGCCTCATGGACCGCTAGGCTCGAAAAGGAAACTACGTTTTTTAGCGTGAAGGAATTGTCGTGTTTGAATTATGTGTGAGATGAGTTAAACATTCCGTCAACACAGGAAATCTAATCTTCGCCTGTGCTAACACTGTACTGACATAACCGATTATTTATTAAAGTAGTTTTTCGCGGTACTGTCTTCACTCGCGTCCCTAGACTCGGTCTTCTCTGCGACTCCTGTTATAGTGCCAGATGCTAAATTATTTACCGATTTAATACCAAACACAACAGAGAGAGAAATTACTTGTTTGAGTTAATCTATTCTTGATCTTTGAAAATATATTTTTTTAATCCCGGCTTCTTTACCCTGTTTGGCGCTACCCAGGGGAAGCTGGATCAGCTACCTGTAATCCCGGCTTCATTAATCCGAACTTCTATAATCCCGTCTCCCACTAATCCTATCTCTTACTAATCCTGTTTCTCACTAATCCCGTCTCCCACTAATCCCGTCTCCCACTAATCCCATCTCACACTAATCATGTCTCCCACTAATCCCGTCTCCCACTAATCCCGGCTTCCACTATTGCTCAAACGCCCTGTAGACTTGAAGCATCATTCACGTCGGTAATGTTACGTGTACTCGCTACTGTTATATATTTTCCCTTAAGTCTACTTGTTTTTAAATTGAAAATTATAGTCTTTGATGATGAAATGATTGTAAAATGGATGTGATGTTACAATCTATGTTAATCCTCCCTTAACACAGACGAGTTGATAGCTGAAGCTGGGTGGGGCGGCACAGAGGCGTAGCGAGGGGGGGGGCGGGGGGGGACATATGTCCCCGGGCGCCGACCTTAGGGGGGGGCGCCAAATTGAAAGTTTGAGGGGGGGGGTGCAAATGAAAAGTTCGAGGGGGGAGGTGGAAATCGAAAGTTTGAGGGGGGGGGGGCGCAAATGAAAAGTTCGAGGGGGGGTGCAAATGAAAAGTTCGAGGGGGGGGTGCAAATCGAAAGTTTGAGGGGGGGGTGCAAATGAAAAGTTCGAGGGGGGGGTGCAAATGAAAAGTTCGAGGGGGGGGGGTGCAAATCGAAAGTTTGAGGGGGGGTGCAAATCGAAAATTTGCTCCCGAGGGGGGCGCCAAATTGAAAGTATGTCCCCGGGCGCCGGGAAGGGTCGCTACGCCTCTGGGGCGGCAAGATCCGGGCGCCGACTCTAGGGGGACGCCAAACGAGGCTAAAGGAAAAAGACTGCTGTTTAGACCCAACAAACGCTTAAGACGGGATAGTGTGGTCAGCTCTATGTTCAGCCGCGTTAACTTTCCCTAACGCGAGTTAGGTACTGATCAGAGCAGAGTTGACTCAGGGACGTTGCAACTGACTTAAACCAGGATTCGAGCTCAAAACTCTCGGGTTAACAATCTAGAGCTCTACCGCGAGGCCACACCGCCCCATACAAGGTAGAAAAAAAATTAAAAAGCTAATCCTGAGCTGCATTACTGAATTATACACAGTCAAAGTTAAGAAAATAGACTGCTACATAGCTCTACAGACTAATTTAACTGTTTTCTACATCAATACTGTGACACTAAAAGATGATAACAGGTTAAGACTGATGACTGTGGTTGTGGTTGGGTTTGTTGTTAGGTTTTTGTTTTCGTTTGTATTTGTAATTGTGTTAGCGTTATGTTTGCGTTTTGTTGTTTTGGTTTTGGTTGGTTGTGGTTTGGGTGGGCAATGCCGGGTTTATGATTATTACTAAACACACAGGTGAGGGTCTTTAACAGAAAGGTTTTTCACAGAAGCCAGAGCAGGGCCTGGCCGGGACGGCTAGTATATATATATATATATATATATATATATATATATATATATATATATATATATATATATATATATATATATATATATATATATATATATATATATATATATATATATATATATATATATATATATATATAAGGGGGAGTGCAAAATTGATAGTTCGCCTGGGGCGCCAGAATTGGGTCGCTACACCTCTACCCTCACAACACCCACCACCAACACTATGTAGATAACAGATAACTCCCGCTGACACCTGTAGCTACAGCCATTGTTTGTGTTCAATACCCGCACGCCCAGAAAATGTGATTTATGTTCCCGGGGTAAAACTGTTTTTTCTGTGAACGAAAATGTCAATCTCGCCCGCCTTGTTTTGTTTACCACGATACGGCACCACATGTGTGATTTGGGGATTTGTTTTTCTATTTGTTGTTTTGTTGTCTGTTGCAGTTTTTTGGAGGATTGTTTTATTTTCCGTAGTTTTCGTGAAATGTTTTAAAAGTATTGCAAGATGCGCACGGTGCAAAATGCACATTAAACATTTATTTTAAACTCTCTAATGCAGTGGTTCTTAACCCATTTTGGAGGTACTGAGTATTACAAGTTTTATATGTGCATTCACCGAACCGTTCTTAAAGGTTCTGTCGTTCGAACTGACAAAATCCGATCGTGAATCATATGAGCCAGGTGTGTGTCTTGACCTCTACCGAGCCCTTAGACCGACTCACCAAACCCCGGGGGAGGGGGGTAGGTGGGGTTCGATTAAACCCAAGTTAAGAACCACTGCTCTAATGAAAATTGACCTGCCCATTATGTGGGAAACGTTTATTTACAACTATAGGTCAAAAAGTGCGACTCAATTCTGGTTGCTCAACATCAAATGTCATTACCTCAAAAAAGAAGATCAATAACAAAAAAATTTTGATTGTGGTAAGCAATTAGCTCTTCGGCCTGTTTTTTTTTTTACATTTTAAAACTTTTCTGCGTATTAAGTAAACAAGCCTTGCTTTATTTTTTATAATGTAATCGTCTTAGAAGCTAAAAGATGTTAATGAATGTTAAACTTAAAAGATCTTAATTACACCCTATAAAAACTCGTATAAATAGAGGAAATGAAGTCTTTTTGTTTGTCAAATGATGGTTCAATCGCTTTTATTAATGATTAATGAAGATTGAAATCCAACAAATTTTCTAAAATAAAATTAGTTATTTCATAGTTTTGTAATTTTCGATGAAAAATTGAATACCGTGGTTTCACAGACCAAAGACTTTTTTATGGATCTTAAGACACGAAAACTTCGTCAGTGCCAACGGACCAACAGTGTCAACATTTTCCTGACACTTACGTTTAGTCATTTCGTCGATCGTGTGTTGGTTTAAATCACAAAAAACTCAAACCGACGGACATCGGATCTCTGGGAGTGGTTTATTCTCGCCTGGGTTACTGTCTGTGTGATCAATGGTAGAGATAAGTCTTAATGTGTAAATATGTTTTGATTCCTTTCTCCTGATTTTTTTTGCTCTGTTTACAATTTAAGGTTCATATCGCGATATTGTGGAGTGGTTTTGGAAGTATATATTTTTATGAACACTTAAGATCTCATCTGTGGTAACTGGTATAAGCATACAGAATACTTTTAGACAAGGGTTACTCGTGTTGATCGTGGTTTAAAAAAAAAAAACTTGCTAAGTGTATGTAAAAGTTGATTTAATTCTTCTTCTTCATTCTTAATTTTAGTGTTGGAAGAGATCCCTTCCAACAAATTAAGGTTACACGTCAACGGTTATGTGCCATTGAGGCCATTGACTCCGATTTCAGCCTGCTTTTCGTTTTGGATTTGCTTCCTTCGCCTGTGTCCAACCAAGAACAAACTACAAGGCAGCAGTTGTTTGATTTTGGAGTTGAAACTTACATTGATGGGCACAGGTTTAAGTATACATTTTCTATTTCGTCCTGTGGGGGGGGGGGGGGGGGGGGGTGGGGGATGGACGTACTTCCCCTACTGAGAGACGCCTGAAACCAACTCTGGTCTGGGGGTGAGTTAGCCTACCTGAAGACCACTCGCAGGCTGTCACTTCCGTTTTTGAGCACCACCATGGCCTGGGTCTTGGAGACCCTCTCCGACTGCCGGGCAATACTTGTGTTACTCTGGGTTGGAATTGTTCGACAGCATGGGAATATGATCTGTGGGGGGGGGGGGGGGGAGATGGGGTGGAAGAGATTTGAAAAAAAGGCTTTAAACATTTAAGCGTAAGTATGGTATTTCTTTTTAAAGAAAATAGGTTTATGTATCGATGGTGTCGCTTTTAAGGATGAAGCTTAAATTGAAGAGGGAGACGGTGTGGTTGGAGGTAGAGCATGCGACTGCTAACCCGAAAGTCTCGAGTTCGAACTCCTGGCTCTTATCATAGAGCTTACATGAGTCCACTCATCTCTTATAGTTACCTGACTCACAGGGAAAGTAAAGGCGGCTGGGCATGTTGCTGACAACACTATCCTTTTATATGTCGATGTTACCTGAAAATGGTGAACTCTACTTTTTCTGTACCAAATACTGTCAGGTTCTAAAGACTACTTTACTTTTACTATCCAGAACTATAGTTAAGCTAAGGGGTATGAGTAAGCCAAGGCTATACAATAGATAACTAAAACTATTCCTAGGGATTTACATAAAAGAACTTGTGGCGCAATAGTTGACTATTCATAGGCCCATCACAGTTTATACTCGAATAGATTATGATGTGTTAATAAGTTTTCATGCAAAAAATATGAAGTATCATCGTATTAGGGTATACAAAAGTCGTGCAACTTGTACTAAGGTCTTACAAAAGTTCCTGCAACAAGTTTAAAAGTTGTACAAAAACTACTGCAACATGTTCTGTGGTTATACACAAATTACTGCAACATGTTGTGTGGTTATACAAAAGTTGCAGTAACATGTTCTCACCTGTTTAAATGCTGCTCGGTAGCGCTTTGATATCACGTTATATAATATAGGATTTACTGTAGAACTTACAAAGTAAAGCACACCTGTAGAAAAATGTTTAAATATTTTAAAAAAAAATATGTATATATATATATATATATATATATATATATATATATGTATATGATTTATTGTACAACTAACAAAGTAAAAGGCACAACTAAAAATAAAATGTTGGACACAAAACACATTCAGATTCACAACACATGTTAATTTCGCCTGGTCAGGGCGTCGCAATGGGTAGGAGCAGGCTTGTTACACCCCCTCCACTTACATTCCCGCCTTCTGGTACTCTTTTGTCTCAAAAATTTAATCAAAACTTAGTACAATATATTAGTATATCAATAATACAATTCTGGATAAATTGCTGAACGAGCCGCCCCTTCCCTTTCTTCTGTTTGATCAAAACTATAACTATATATTCAACCTTTTTACTTGTTGTATAGTATTCCAACATGGCATATGTAATGTGACGTTCCTGGCATATTTAATAGAGGGGACGCATCTGATATATAACATATATAATATATACAAGATATGTAAAAGATATATGATCCCTAGTACATAACAAATATAACCTACCTGATATCTACGATATACGACCCACATAATAAATACAAGAACTATGATTAACCTATGTAAAAAAGTTATTAGACCCTCCTGTTTTATATCATATGGGCCCCACATGATATATAGAAGTTATGAGACCCACCTGTCATGCATGATATATAACCCACCTGATATATAGAAGATATGAGACCCACCTGATATATAGAAGATATGAGACCCACCTGTTATATATGATATATGACCCACCTGATATATAAAAGTTATGAGAACCACCTGTTATATATGATATATCACTCACCTGATATATAGAAGATATGAGACCCACCTGATATATATAGAAGATATGAGACCCACCTGTTATATATGACATGAGACCCACCTGTTATATATGATATATCACTCACCTGATATATAGAAGATATGAGACCCACCTGATATATAGAAGATATGAGACCCACCTGATATATATATATATATATGACATGAGACCCACCTGATATATAGAAGATATGAGACCCACCTGATATATAGAAGATATGAGACTGTACCAGCATCAACTGTGGGGTCCAGTTGACCACGTAGAGCGTCATCAGCCGTTGGGTGTGGAATGGTGCCCAGCATAGGATGAAGGCAACGGTCACGGCAACTGTGGACAAGAGAGGGGGTGGGGGGGTAAGTGGGTCGTGAGTCAGGGTCATCATCTGACCTATTCACAAGGCTGTTGTCATGGCAACAAGGGGAAAAGAGACCGGGGTGTAAGGGCAGAGGCGTATCCAGGTTTTCATTATAGGGGGAGCGAAAAGAGCAAAAAAAGGCGTCGAATTTTTAACACGTTCTATATACGTGTATTATATATATATATATATATATATATATATATATATATATATATATATATATATATATATATATATATATATATATATATATATATATATATATATATAATTACTAGCTGTATGTCATTACTTCGCTATGATGTAATCTATATACTACTAAAACTCAACTTTGTTTACATGTTTGAATATTTATTTGTTTGCCTGATCGACTATTGTGATATGTTCGACTCTATCTGGAAAGCTGTAAAATAGTATGCAGGTAGAGAATAATTTTTTAATGCAGACAGACTGTTGATCACAAATTTATTTAAAGACGTTAATTAATTAATTGATTTATTCATATGCAGAGTAACCCATTTTTTTTTAAAATGTTAACACATCGACTAAACTTTGTGGGAATAGTGACGTCACAGGTTTTTGTTTACTCTTTAGTACAATAAAATGGCGGCGTCTATCGAAGAAAATTGTGTTCCCATTCAAAAGTTTAACGCGTTCTAAATCTAATTTTCTGTCGGTCATAACTTTAACAATACGTCCGTTTGCTGTATTTATTACGTTCCAACACTTATATCAATTTTAAACTGTCTTTTTTCATTTAGTTTTACACTAAATTTCTCTAGATCTAAAATTCAGCTGTCGAAGGAAAGTTATGAATCTAGAATCTAGCCTAGGGCCTAGGTCTAGATTCTAGATCTAGGTCACTAGACTCAATGTAAATTCTAGATCTAGACTTAATGTAAATTCTACATCTAGAATCTATTTCGGGCCTTAATTATTTTATATAAATCTTTGTTTAGCTTCAATGATCATCTAATTCGAGAATACATGGGATTTTTTTGTTATCTAGGTTCTATATCTAGATATAGTAGGATTACTCACTAACTTGGAGGCGTGGTCGGCTGCTAACAACAATATGGCGTACGGACCGGATATGGCGTACGGACCGGACGCATGTCTTCCGACAATTTTTAGGCCATGTTTACCACGAGCAAGATGGCGGGTGTTTACATTATTTAAACATGGTATAGGTGGCCAGGGCTAGATATGCCAGAAAAGCATTTTAAAATTTGCTTTGGAGAATGAAGGCTAAATTTTAAAGTCAGTGTCATAAACATTAATAGAACTTTTTTTTTTTTTTTTTACGTTTTCAATTATTTTTTCTTAAGCCCTATATGTGAATGATAAGGTTGACTATCAGGACCTCGCGGGGCACAGGGCAGGTGAAGTAGGGTTCATCTGTTTCTTTGTCCTAAGCAAATGAAGGGATAGTGTGGTCAGAGACATGCTCGGCTGGAATCGTTTTTGTTGTCTGAGACTTGGCGGGACACTGGGCAGGTGAAGTAGAGTTGAGTAGGTCATCTGTGACGTCAGTATATGAAGGGATAGTCCGAAATCGGTGTTTTCGGTGTTTTTAAAAGATAAAAAACATATTTTTGAATGTGGGGTCTGTTTTTTGTGACGATAAGTGACACTGCATTAGCGTAGCGAGGAGGGGGGGGGAGGCGGGGGTGAAGGGGAGGCGGGGGGGGGGGAAGGCGGGGGGGGGGACATATGTTGGGGCGCCAAAATGGTTTGGAAAAATAAATTGAAAGGTTGAGGGGGGTTCAAATGGAAAGTTTGAGTGGGGGGGGGGGGGGGGTGCACATCAAAAGTTTGAGGGGGGGGGTTGAAAATCGAAATCTTGGGGGGGGGGTGGGGTTCAAATCGAAAAGTTTGTCCCCGGGCGCCGGGAAGGGTCGCTATGCCTCTGAGTGACAGACGTGATGTTTTTTGATGGATGACCCCCGAAACCCACAGTTATCCAACGGATGACGGGTATTCTAGTATACTACTAAAAGTCAAGTTTGTTTACATGTTTGAATATTTATTTGTTTTTTTGTTTGTTTGCCTGATCGACTATTGTGATATGTTCGACTCTATCTGGAAAGCTGTAAAATAGTATGTAGGTAGAGAATAATTTTTTAATGCAGACAGACTGTTAATCACAAATTTATTTAAAGACGTTAATTAATTTATTGATTTATTCCTACGCAGAATAACCCATTTTTTTTTAAAATGTTAAAACCTTGACTAAACTTTGTGGGAATAGTGACGTCACAGGTTTTTGTTTACTCTTTAGTACAATAAAATGGCGGCGTCTATTGAAGAAAATTGTGTTCCCATTCAAAAGTTTAACGCGTTCTAAATCTAATTTTCTGTCGGTCATAACTTTAACAATACGTCCGTTTGCTGTATTTATTACGTTCCAACACTTATATCAATTTTCAACTGTCTTTTTCATTTAGTTTTACGATAAATTTCTCTAGATCTACAATCTGTCCAAGAAAGTTATTTATTTATTTATAGATCTAGATCTAGAATCTAGGTCAAATCAAATATTTATTGATTATAAATACAATCCAAAAAAAAAAGAGACTTAAGCAAACCAGTCGTAGATCTAGAATATAGATAATTCTATTCTATCTAGATTTAGATAATAGTGATTTTCTATATACTAAACTATTTTAGACCTTTATTATTTTATATAAATCTTTGTTTGGAATATGGTAATTTTGAAATGCTCGCTCCGGGCCCATCAGCGTAGCTAATGATTAGATCTAGATCTAGATTCTAGATCTAGCAAGAAAAACTAAACTTAAGACTTAAGCAAACGAGTCGTAGAATCTAGATCTAGATAATTCTATCTAGATCTAGATAATTTCAGACCTTCTTTATTTTATATAAATCTTTGTTTGTATAGCTATGAAATATGCTAATTAGGAAATGCTCGCTCCATGGCCTCTATTTGCATAATTTAAGATTTATACGCGGCTTCTATACTGCTAATTTTGCAAAATTATGAACGTAAACTCTAGATATAGCTCAGTCGTAGATCTAGAATATAGATAATTCTATCTAGATTTAGATAATAATAAGTTTCTATGGAATTGGCTAATTTAAGATAAAATTTAATTTGAAAGTTAGTACTACTATACCTAGATCTAGAATCTATGCGCTTAAATCAAGTTGCATAAGTATAGTATAAAAATTCACTTGTGACGTCACGTGTAAATAGCTAAGTTGGTAGCGTAGCCCGCTCTCATGTGGGTGGCACAGGTTCTAGACCAATATGTCAATGATATATTTTTTTTTTTTTAGATGTGAATGATAAAGTTGCCTATCTGAACTTGGAAGGATACAAGGCAGGTGAAGTAGAGTTCATCTGTTTCTTTGTCCTAAGCATATGAAAGGATAGTGTGGTCAGAGACATGCTCGGCTGGAATCGTTTTTTAAACGATAAAAACATGTTGTCTGAGACTTGGCGGGACACTGGGCAGGTGAAGTAGAGTTGAGTAGGTCACATGTGACGTCAGTATATGAAGGGATAGTCCGAAATCGGTGTTTTCGGTGTTTTTAAAAGATAAGAAACATATTTTTGAATGTGGGATCTGTTTTTTGTGACGATAAGTGACACTGCAGTAGCGTAGCGAGGAGGGGGGGGGGCGGGAGGGGGAGGGGAGGCGGGGGGGGGGGGAGGGGAGGTGGAGGGGGGAAGGGGGGCGCGTGGGGGGACATATGTTGGGGCGCCAAAATGGTTTGGAAAAATAAATTGAAAGGTTGAGGGGGGGTGCAAATCGAAAGTTTGAATGGGGGGGTGCACATCAAAAGTTTGAGGGGGGGGGGTGCAAATCAAAATCTTGCGGGGGGGGGGGTTCAAATCGAAAAGTTTGTCCCCGGGCGCCGGGAAGGGTCGCTATGCCTCTGAGTGACAGACGTGATGTTTTTTGATGGATGACCCCCGAAACCCACAGTTATCCAACGGATGACGGGTAGTCTATATAAATTAAAAGTAGCACTTAGAAATAAGAAACAACACACTATGTAGGCCGACAAAACAAAAAATCAATCTAAACATATATATATATATATATATATATATATATATATATATATATATATATATATATATATATATATATATATATATATATATATATATATATATATATATATATATACTACTACAACCAAAAACACTGAACGTAACACAATCTGTTTTGTAATTCTTGTAAAAAAAATTTCTAACATAATAATTCCTGGGAAATTATTTAAGACAATTGAAATAGGGGAAATAATCACTACCATAATATAAATATGTATATATCTACACATTTAATTATAAATGTCAAAACAAATAAATAATTACTTTAGAATATAATGAAATTGTTTAACACTATTCGCGTTAACAAAATGTTTTTGTCTATAATCAAAATTTAATATATCGTCATCATAAATGCTAAAGTATTACAGCATAAAGAAAGTTTTTTAAATCAGAGTTGGTATAAAAGTACGCTTTTCGATATAGTAGTAAAGCATTTGGAATAACAACCTACATTTAACTAAATATCGGTCTTTTAGTTCAAATCATATATTTTAATTATCTACTGCTTCTTTGTGTTCTTTAAAGATCATTTTTTTAACATAGTGATAGGTATGGGTTAGATCACTGTATTGATCACACACGTTTTTACTGGTAATTGCAAAAACAATATTCACAGAGTTTTACGTTTAAAAAGCTAATTTTCTGGCGGCATGGTACTTTGGTACATCATTACGCGTTTTTCTACATATGCTTAACAGATCAGTTCGGAGTGGGTTGGGGGGGGGGGGGGAAGGGGGGAGGTGGGTTCAACTTCATTCACCACTGTCCGTTCACTTTAGGTCAATTATCCAACCCAGTGTATACCTAGGTGTGACATTAATGTCGCTCTACACCATTGTGGTGGTGAGGTGTGTATGTGTGTGTGTGGGGGGGGGAGATAGCGTC